CCTTGTCTGCTCTTGGTTCACTGGAGATGGTGGTGAACTTGGAGGAGGAGAGAGAATTTCATGCTTATCTTCTGTTAGTTGATACTTTCCCTTCCCAAAAAGTATTCACAGTTTCTGGGCTTTCTTGCTGTTGTGTTACTTTGTCACTTGGGACAATAGTGGAAATAATTTGTATTCTTTTTATTATGGAAACATGACCAGAGCATGTAAGAATGTATAACTGGGTTCTTTCTGTGGGTATCATATTAGTCCAGATCAATGTTTTTAACCAAAACTGAAGATGTAAGATCCTAGAACTCACTAATCTATTTTAGGTCACAGGAAGCATGTAAACCATAGAAACCACAATCAACCAAAGCATCTGTGTTGAAAAAAGGGCAAGAATTTATCTTCTAAAGGTGTCAACTGAACAAATCCATCACAGATAAGTAAGGGAGTTAGTTACAAGGAGAGTCATCAGTGTAACCTGAGGCTGTTGATAAACATTTCCTGTCTTCTTGCCCTGGCAGAAATTCTTTGCAGCCACACGTTTCCCCATGTTTTCATTTAGCTGAATATTGGCATCTGTGCAAGGGGAGAGAGGTTCTTAGAACAAACCTAACTTTCAGCGTCAATGATCTAACCCTCAACTCACTGCTGACCTTCAGAGTACAGATAAACAAGAATCTTAACCTTCTCATGGCCGGTGTTGGTCTCGTTCTTCCCTCTTCAGGGAGTGTGACCTGTTTTTATTTTATTTGCTTATAGAACTAAGTGTCCCCTCATCCCTGCCCCAGGTCACCTTGAGGTGACCACAGCCATGCCCAGTATTGAGATAGGAGGCTGGTGACACACTTTCCCCCAAGTCTGCTCAAGAGGCCGTACCTCTCTTCCATACTGAGAATTTCAGAACCCATGAACCCAGTGCCAACAGGTAAACATGAGGCTCTCAAATTGCTGGAAAAGCATCATTCCTAACTCTCTCCATGTGCATAAAGAATCTTAAGGTGTACTTACCCTGGTTCCCAATTTTCTGACTATCTGCATGGACCAGGTGAGAACATAGTGACCAAAAAAAAGTTTGACTTGATAGCTGAGTGGTTATTAGTCATGCTCCCCGAGATCCACTCTGGTTTCCAGGATCCCAGAGGATAAATTCTTCTACTGGCTACATCACCTGTACCCCCGCTGCTCCCTCTTCCTGTTGGGTTCAGGCACTGGCAGAAGGTCAGAGGACTTCTGCTCCTGCTCTCCTCCTGCCCTGCGGAAGTTCTAGCAGCAGCTGTATCCTTCTGCCTTCAGCTCTCAACAGGGCTCAGGTGATATTTATTGGTTTGATCCTTCAAGCATCCCACTAGTCTTTGGACACCTCACCCACCTGTTGGTTCTTTTTTTTTTTTTTCAAGATTTTATTTATTTATTCATGAGAGACAGAGAGAGAGAGAGAGAGAGGCAGAGGGAGAAGCAGGCTCCCAAGGAGCAGGGAGCCCAATGTGGGACTCGATCCCAGGACCCTGGGATCATGACCCGAGCCGAAGGCAGACGCTTAACCATCTGAGCCACCCAGGCGCCCCGACCTGTTGGTTCTTTTAACCCTGCCTACCCTTCTATATGTACACTCAGCCTTACACTGTGTCTTCAAAACAGATGGCCGAGTGTGCCATCTGTTCCCTGTGCCAGAGATCAGCCAAACATTCAAATCCTGGCTCTGCCACCCCTTATCTCTGCGCCTCTCTGTTTACAAAATCAGAGAGCTGGAGTCAGTGATGTCTAGTGTGAAGGCAGAAATCAACAAGGGCAAAATTCCAGGGTCTTGACCTTTGCCATCCCAGATTGACTTAAAGGAACCAGCAGCATGATGCCAGAGTCAAGACATTCCATAAGTGGGCACGGACCCAGCATCATTGGGTGGGTAAGACCAGTTTTACTATTGAAATCTCAGAAAGACCCTTTTGATCCTCACTCAGAGACCACGTTAGGAAACAACTGGGGAACTTTTCATGTTCCTGATCAAGAAAGAAGCTATCTTCTAAGGAAAAATCTGAGGCCCTTCTTGCTTCACACAAAAGCCAGGTCTTATGCAGGATACATGGCTACAACAAATAGAAATCCAGACAGGACCCCTGGATTGCACTGAGTGTGTTATTGTTGTTGTTGTTAGCTACTATTAGCTATCTGTTGAGTGCCTAGTTCTACCAGATGCTGTACTAGCTGCTTTGTATCCATTTAAACCCCACAGACCCCAGAGGCCTTATTATTCCTATGTTATAGTTGGGGAAATCAAAGCTTAGACATTTGCCAAGGCCATAGCATAAGGATCCTGACCCAAGATCTGCTGAATTCTAGAAAGTGCCTGGAGCCAACTCAGGTGACTCAATTTTCCCTGTGGAACCTGAGGAATATTCCTAAGTGTAGTTGCCTCAATTGCAGGATTTGTGCTGTTAACAATGATTTATGGGGGTTTTTTTTGTGTGTGTGTGTGGTAAAATAAACATAATGTGTATTATGTTTATATAACATAAAATCTTACCATTTTAACCATTTTTAAGTGTACCAGTTCGATGGCATTAAACACATTTGTAATGTTGCCAACCATTACCACCATCCATCTCCAGAACTCATTTCATCTTGTAAAACTGAAACTCTGTACCCATTAGCACCCGTTAATCCCTCACCCCAGCACCTGGCAACCACCGTTCTATTTTCCGTCTCTATGATCTTCTGTCTCTTCCACATGTAAGTGGAATCATCCAGTCTTTTGTGACTGGCTTATTTCACTCAGCATAATGTCCTCAAGGTTCTTCCGTGTTGTTAGCAGGTGTCAGACTCTCCTTCATAAGACTGAATAATATTCCATTGTATGCATATATCACAGTTTGCTCATCCATTCATCCATGGGTGGACAGTTGGATTTCTTCCATGTTTAAGCTATTGTGAATAATATTATGGCTGTGAACGTGGGTGTATAAATATCTCTTTAAGACTCTGCTTTCATTTCTTTTGAGTATACAACCAGAGTAGAATTGTTGGATCACATAGTAATTCTATTTTTACGTTTTTGGGGAACCACCATACTGTTTTGCACAGTAGCTGTACCATTTTACATTTCCACAAGAGCACACAAGAGTTTCAGTGTCTCCACCTCCTCACCAACACTTGTTATTCTCTGTTTTTTGGATAGTAGCCATTTTAATGGCTGTGCGGTGGTATCTCATTTTAGTGTTGATTTTCATTTCTCTAATGATCACTGGTGTTGAGCATAGCATGTGCTTATTAGCCATGCATATATCTTCTTTGAAGAAATGTCTATTCAAGGCAAGTCTTTTGCCTAGTTTTGAATTGAGTTTTGTTTAGTTGTTGAGTTTCAGAATTTATCTGTCTAGTTTCAATACAGCATCTTCTGAAAAATGTCCCAGATATATTTGAGAAGAATGTGTGTGCTATTGTTCTTGGGTAGAGTATCCCATATCTCTCTGTCAGATCCAGGTGGCTTATTGTGCTGTTCAAGCCCTCTGCTTCCCTACTTATCTTTCATCTGGTTGTCCAAAATGCACCGTTTTGCATTCCCTTATCAAGAATGGGGTGTTGAAATATCCGACTATTATTGTGCAACTGTCTTTTTCCCCCTTCACTCCTGTCAGTTTTTGCTTCATATATTTTGATGATCTGTCATTAGGTGTAAATGTTTGTAATCATTGTATCTTCTGGCTGTATTGAACCCTTTATTAATATATAACATCTGTCTTTGTCTCTTGTAATCTTTTTCAATTTAGAGTCTATTCTGTCTGATATTAGTATAGTCATCCCTGCTCTCTTTTGTTTCACATCTTTTAGTTAATATTTTCTCCATCCTTCCACTTTCAATATATTTGTGTGTTTGGATCAAAAATGAGTCTCTTGTTGATAATATATATTAGAACATGTTTGTTTTGTTTTGTTTTGTTATTCATTCTACCATTCTCTATCTTTTTTTTTATTTTTTTTAATTTTATTATGTTATGTTAGTCACCATACAATACCTCATTAGTTTTTGATGTGGTGATCCAGGATCCATTGTTTTCATATAACACCTAGTGCTCCGTATTTAATGCATTTACATTTAAAGTAATTACTGATAAGGAGGGATTTAATTCTGTCATTTTGTCATTTTTTTTTTATGTGCATGCTTATGGCTTTTTTGTCCCTCATTTCCTGCACTACTGTCTTCTTTCGTGTTTTATTTTTTTTTTGGTAATGAAATGCTTAAATTCCCTTTTATTTCCTTTTGTGTGTGTTCTAAAACTATTTTCTTTGTGATTACCATGGTGATATAGCATAGTTAGAACATTCCAATTTAAATTTATACCAGCTTAATGTCACACAGCTTAAAAACACACAAAACTCTGCTCTTTTATGGCTCTGTTCTCACCCCTTTTGGTTGCTGGTGTCACAGAAATGCCTTTATACATCACATGCCAAGAGGAGGCTGTGGGGGATGGGTAGATGCTACCGTGCCAAAAGCTAAAATCGACCAAAGTTAACTGCAATTGATCATCCAAGCCTCCTCGTGACAGTTGCAGGTCTTCAGTAGATTCCAGAGTTCCAGAATAGTTAGATAAGATGGATTCTGTCAGTGCAATTGTTGTCTGGGTGGGGAGAGAGATTTCTGGTGCTTCCTATGTGACCGTCCTCCCAGAATCTCTGTGGTGTTTTCTTTTAGGAAAAGTTCTTTCTGAGGAGTTGGACCTGAAATAACTGAGGCCCTTATTGCTAAGGACATCTCTGATACAAGAGACAATTTTACATTCCCTTTTCAATAAAAATCTCCACCTAAAAAAAAATTTCCAATCAGATCCCAAATCCATAATGTCACCAGTGTGCATGGCCACATAAAACTCATTCTGTTTTCTCCACCCTCAACAACAGCCCCACTGTTAGCATTTATCCTCTGGAAAATTAAGTTCTGTTGTGCTCATTTCATGCAAATTACCACTGGCAGAAGAGAGAGGAAGATTTCCAGATATAGAGACCCACAAGATAAAGAAGCCCAGAGTCGTTAGACAGAGGAGCTGATGAACAGGGTACGCCTGACTCACACTAACGGTTGCATAAGTAAGATTTCAAAATTAATATTACTCTGGAGACCTCAACCTAGTGTACAATGTTCCTGGCTGGAAAAGAAGAACTATATCATTCTTTTTTTTTTTTTTTTTTTTTAAAATCTGTACCATTACTTGCCGTTGTATCTCCGCCTTCTTCTGCAGGAAACATTATTTCCTACTTCTGCACACCAAGTTTCTACCTTCAGATCTCTTTGGTTCAGTTGCTGAGAAGCCGGACCCTCTAGTGCCACTTGGGAGAAGCCATCCACCGGTGAGTTGTGGGTGCTTTTTCCATTACTTTATGAATCACAGGCTCAAAGCATCCCAACACTGGAGATGCAGGGACTGGGAACACCCTGAAGGTTGCATAGCTCAGGACCTTGGGGGATGGTGTTGGGGGAGAAAAGGCTGGAGGGTGGTGTCTGCACCAGAAATGTTGGAGAGGCCCAGATAACAGCGAACAAGTGCAGAGCAGGGTGAGACCACCCCACGGGGCTCAGGTGAGAGGAGAGTGCGCTAAAGAGGACAGTCACGAAAGTAAGGATATTCAGGCTACTCAGCTGCTGCTTCTCTCACTCTGCCCCTCCCAGGCCCTGGGGCTTTAAAGAGCTGGAACTTTCTATCCCAAATATTCCCCCTCCCCGCTTCATAGTCCATCTATGTGATGGTCCAAGCCCTGAACCGAAATTGGCCTCTTTCCTCAATTCAGAAGGCCCACGGGGGCTGAAGTGAGGAATCTATTTTTCTGAGAGTCAGCTTTTAATCGATTCAGGATGTGTCCTGACACTTGAAAGTGACACCTTGCAAGTCTGCTGTGTCAGGAGCTAGGTGTGCCGGAGTGACTGGGGAGAAGTCGTGGAGGAGGAGGTGGCTGGTAGATGAGAAGCCAGCGCAGGTAAACAACAACGTGGAGAGAACACACGGTGGAAGTGGTCAGGGCGATTGGCCCCCCGTACCCTGATCTGAATCACCAGAGGGTCTGGGCTGTGCATTTCTGACTGACAGACTTCCTGTGTGATACCGAAGCCCAGCATTTGAGAACCACTGGTCCAGTCCACACTTTCCCATCCAGATGAGGAAGCCAGCCCTGTGGTTGGTTATAGAACAGCCCAAAGGGTGTGCTGCACTTAATGGGCTGAGTGCAAGGATCCCCAATATCTTAGTTTTTAAAAGGTCTCCCACTGGATTGCCTGGGAGGCTAGTCCACAGTGGGGCATTGTGTTTCTCAGCAGCTTGCAGCCTGCTGGTTCTCTGTCATTCACTTACAGAAATGATATTTATTTAACAGACTCTAAGTGCCAGATCGGGCTCTGGGGCACCAAGATACTTTATTGCAAGACAAAGTTCTTGGCCCTGGTGGAGCTTGTTTTCGTGTGTATGTGTGTGTGTGCACGTGCGCACATGAGCACACTTCTGCATGCATAGGTGGGGCATTTTCATATTGGTGAATGTGTGGCTTTTAAGTCTAAATGCCAAAGAAGTTCAAGGCATGGAAGCATACCTAGAAAATTGTTACCTATTCTATATCCATCTCTGCTCTCCCAGCCTGGAGATAGGAGCTCCTGAGGTCTTTTGTAACGGAATAGCCCCAGGTTCAAAATCCAGCTCAGCTATTACTTGTTTTGTAAATTTGGGAAAGTCATTTAACTTGTCCAGGCTTAAATTTTGAATTCTTCACTTGTATAATGTATAAACACTTGCTCACAATATTTTTGCAAGTATTAAACTAATGCATGCAAAGTATTTAGCACAGCACCTGGAACTTAAGGAGCACTCAATTAATGATCATAGACGTAATTCTTTAGGTGGATACATTTTTTCCCCCAGAGCTTGATTAGAAGTCTTACTTAGTTGCAGCAGATTTCCAAGAATCTGGCTTAGTGAAATGAAAGATGTATGAGATGTATCAATTAGAAGAGAAATTGAAGAATAAGGTGTGTACAAAGATAAAAACCAATTCACAGTCACTACCAGGAAAGGGAAAAAAAAAAGAATATTCTTGAGAATCAAGCCTAATGATATTAGATGTTATACTCAGGATAAAGACTTTCATGCATTCCCTTAATGAACATTTATTGGTGCCTCCTTTAGCCGGATGCTATATCATAAGAGCTGGAAACAGAAACATGGTTGGACTTCAAGGGGCACACAGTGTATTGGAGATCGTGTGATAAGGACTTGTTTAGAGGTATGCATAGTGTTATGAGATGACTGGAGTGATTGATTAGAGGAGGCAGGTTTGGCTTCACAGAGAAGGGGAATTTGAACAAGAGGTACTGGCGGATGACTAGGAGCTCACCAGGCATTTTAGGCAGAGGGGCAAGCTTCTGCAAAACTGCTGAAGCAGGTAAGTTTGCAGGAAAATGGACGGGAGGTGGCTGGGGTGGGAGCACAGGACCTGGGGTTTGAGGAGTGACTGGAGACGAAGCTGGGAAGACATGAGCGTAGACAAGACTGACGAGTGGTCTGGGCATTGCCTTTGAGGTCCTGCCACATGCAATGTGTGGGACCACTGTGGTTTTCAGCTGAGAAGCGCACGATCCCATTGCAGTGTTGGGGAGGACAGGTTGAGAAGGAACATGGTCAGGAATAAGCTGCGAGCAAGACCACAGCAAAGATGGAAGTGGGGAGGGTCTGAGGCCAGACAGTGGCAGCCTGACAGAGGTGCAGAGGGGCTGAGCCCGGAGGTGTTTATGAGGTAGAATTCACATGACAATGATCATGACAGCAGTAGTAGATCTGAGTATGGCTCACGGTAGGTGCTCAGTGAATGCTGGTTAAATGGGTCAACCCACGGGGTGCTACGCAGGAGGCGATGGGAAATTCAACTCTGAGATGTAGGGGTTGAAAGGTGAGACTGGAAGGCAGAGCTTTGGGATGCATTGACATTCAGGGTGCCTAGAACCCCGTGATTAGACAGCACGACTCAGCAAGGACTTGGGGGCGAGAATAAAGAGGTAGCAGGTAAAGAGGTGGCAGCCAAGGATGGTGCCTGGGGGCTCTCGCAGGGTGGGCAGGGGAAGGAGACACCAACGAAGAAAATGAATAAGGAGGCCCAAGGCAGGCACTAACCTCCCAGAAGGCACAAGAGTTTTAAATGGAAGAACTTAGCAGAAGGTTCCAGTGCTCATCGAGGATGAAGCTGAAGCAGACCCAGGGCATTTAGTAGTTGGGTTGCCATGGCAACCTTGCCCAGGAAGCTTTGGCGGGGAGGTGGAGGCAGAGAGTTGAGAGTTAGTTAGAAGGCGTTTGGCTGCAAGTAACAGAACATGGAACTCACAGTAGCTTAAAAACGAGGGCTTATGTTTTTCAAATCACAAGACGTCAGAGGATGAGCAGTTCAAGGCTGGGCTTACAACCTGGCGGTGCTGGGACTCGGCCTCGTTTTGCTCCGTTCTCTGAGTCTTTTGTTCAGGGTCCCAAACACCAAGCCCTCACAAGACAAGCTCGAGCAGCAGAAGGGGCAGGCCCGGGTTTCTGCTGCATCTCTCCCGTCGGAGAAGAGCGTTCCCAGAGGCCCCCTCACACAGTGCCCTTCCTTGTTGTCCTCCAGGCACGGGTCACCGGCCCGTGTACCCCCTGGAGAGGATGTGGAGCAGTAAGTATGCCGTGCAGGGCATTATACGATGCGAGCTGGGTCCTCCGGGAAGGCCTGGGGTGTTGAGAAACGGCTGGTGGGGAGACAGCTAGCGTCTGCTCCCAGGAATAAAGGGAAGTGATCAGCCAACACGAGAGCTTTCCAGGACACGGCCGTGAAGCAGAGACAAAGACCAGGCGGTCGCTGACACGGAGCGAGGGTATTTTTAAGCTCGGGGACGGCAGCGGTTACGTGGCGTGTTAGCAGTTTGTTCTCTGATTACAGGACGGAGAAAGATGGGTGACAACAGCACGTTTCTCCAGGCCAGCCACAACATGCCGTCCACATCGCATTCTCTGTTTACAACCAACATCCAGGGCAGCGATGAAGAACCCACCACCATTTATGACTATGATTACAGCGCGCCCTGTCAGAAGGCCAATGTGAAGCAAATCGCAGCCGGGCTCCTGCCTCCGCTCTACTCGCTGGTGTTCATCTTTGGCTTCGTGGGCAACATGCTGGTCGCCCTCATCCTCATCAACTGCAAGAGGCTGAAGAGCATGACGGACATCTACCTGCTCAATTTGGCCATCTCCGACCTGCTCTTCCTTCTCACCATCCCGTTCTGGGCCCACTACGCTGCAGACCAGTGGGTCTTTGGAAATAGGATGTGTCAGCTTTTGACAGGGCTCTATTATATAGGCTTCTTCACTGGCATCTTCTTCATCATCCTCCTGACCATCGACAGGTACCTGGCAATTGTCCACGCGGTGTTTGCCGTAAAGGTCCGGACGGTCACCTTTGGGGTGGTGACAAGCGGGGTCACCTGGGTGGTGTCCATGTTCGCCTCTCTCCCCGGGATCGTCTTCGCGAGAGTGGAAAAGGAAGAAGATTTTATGTCCTGCAGTTCTCACTTTTCAAAAACATGGAAGAGTTTCCATACAATAATGAGGAGCATCTTGGGCCTGGTCCTGCCCCTGCTTGTCATGGTCATCTGCTATTCGGCCATCCTCAAGACCCTGCTCCGGTGCCGAAACGAAAAGAAGAGGCACAAGGCCGTGAGGCTCATTTTTGTGATCATGATTGTTTACTTTCTTTTCTGGGCTCCCAACAACATCGTGCTTCTCCTGAGCACCTTCCAGGAGTCCTTTAATGTGAGCAACTGTCAGAGCACCAGTCAGCTGGACCAGATCATGCAGGTGACAGAGACCCTTGGGATGACACACTGTTGCGTCAACCCCATCATCTACGCCTTCGTCGGGGAGAAGTTCAGAAGGTATCTCTCCACATTCTTCCGAAAGCACATCGCCAAACACCTCTGCAAACAGTGCCCAATCTTCTATGGGGAGACCGCGGATCGAGTGAGTTCCACATACACACCTTCCACAGGGGAGCAGGAGGTCTCAGTTGGTTTGTAAATGAGTAGCAGTTTGCTTCTTACTTTTAAGAGGGGACAGCAATCTGTATGTGATAATAAAGCCTCAAGGGTCTGTTGCAGAAGGGAGGCCTGTGAGCTTCTGAGGCAATAGCACGCTCAGGAACCTCAGGGTCGTGCGCACCAAGACAGATTTTGTTCCTCCCTACGTGACCAAGGCGCACTCAGGGGATAGTCCAGAACAACTGTGGGTAGAGACTGTGACTTCTCCAACGAGCTCCTCCCAGTTCCTGGAAAACGCCATACCTGGAAAATGCTTATGTGCTTCTCCCGGCCTTCACCTTCTCTTCACTGGCTCTGCAATGCTGTCTATCCCTTTGGTCAGGGGTCCAGCTGGAGGTGGGGAGGGGGGCAAGTGGGCATGGGTGGATGGCGTGAGGGCGCATGGGGTCAGTGTCGAGTGCCAGGAGGTGTGGGCATGGCTGAGCCTGGGTGAGGAGGATGGGAAGGGCTTCGTTGGTCCAGCCAGACAGCAGTGCCGCCCCCAGGCCCTGTTTCCCACCCATATTAACCTGGAAGGCCCCACCTGCTCAGGGAGAGCATGGGAACGCCAAGAACCCTCTGAGAGCTTCATTTGGGTCCAATCATCCTCTTCTGTGTAAGTACATGACACATTTTTGCTTTGTTGCCATTTATCTGTGACAACCACGCAGTCTACTTTTGCAATCTATTAAATATCATGCCCCATTTTTCACATGCGTCGTAAGCCACGTGCCCCTATGTAAAAATGTATGAACGTGTTTGTTTATAAAATCTATGTAGTCTATAATGAGATGAAAAATAAAAGCCCTCGTTTGGGCTGTGCAGGGAAAGGGGAGGTTTGCAGGTAGTGATGGGGAGAAGGCGTGAAGGTGGATGACTTCCTGCATCTGGAACTGTAGCAAGAGCTCTGGAGGCTGTGTGAGCACACACACCGCCCCGCAACCCCCTGCAGCAATGTTTCCAGAATCAGCTAGGAAAGGCCAGGAAGGATGCATCCGAACCCGTAGAGGCCTCAGGTCTTTGGATCTGACTGTGTTTATCTTCTTGTTACCTGTCCCTGCTGCCCTGGCCCCATCTGCGCTCCCCACCCCCTGAGACTTCATCACATCACTCTTGCCCGAAGGATTGCCCTGCCCCAGAGCCAGCTCGAGGAGGTCCAGGAGAGTGGCCTTGGGGAGTAGAAAACGATGCAGCCAGAACCCCTCCATGGGCCCGGGAGAGGGGGAAAAACCGGTGGGGGCCCTGGGGTGTGTCACCGGGGCAGAGAAGGAGCCGGCAAAGATGACAGAGGCCCCCGCCTTGGAAGTCATACCCTAGCCTGTGAATCTCGGGGTCTAATCAGCCAGATGGGGCGGACCTACACGAGGAAGACTCTAGATGGGGTTGGGGTAAAATGTTTTCCAAACTACCTTCCAGCACCTCATTTTTGGATCCAGGCATAGAGTTCGCATATGTAATAATAATAATAATAAAGTAAAAATAAAAGTAAAGCTGAAACTGTAACTTGCAAATGGGGCAGAGTATCATTTTAAGAGTTGCTATTATGTCAAGCCTGAAAATACCGTATTAATCCCAGAGAGAATTCTGGTTTTGAGCTTAGAAAGTTGGAGCCTGTGGTATGTTTGGGAGACTACCAATTCAACATGAATAGTTGTTGATCAGGGAGTCCAGGGTCTGGTCTACGGGCTTACTAGCTCATGGCGATGCGGCGTCTAACTCGTACCATTTGGATCATAGCCCACGCTGCACAGATGGGATCTCGACAGGGTCTTTATTCTCCCAGCCTTACGGCCACAAATCCTTCGTATCATTATGAAGTCTAGGAGGTCATGGGTTTGATCGTGTTCAAATGCTTCTGTGCTCTGCCAATGTCATTCATGTTCAAACTGTCCAATTTGGAGTGGGAACTCCTAAATCACACTGACCCCTAATCGAATTTTTAAACCCGATTTGTAAAGGGGAGGAGTTGGCTCACTTAAGTCAGCAAAGACTCTTATCTTGGGTGAGCCAAGTTAAGAAGGTACACCTGGGTGACCCAGTGCATTTCTGATCTGACACAAGCAGGAAAGACAGGGCTTCTGGAACCTGGCAGCTCGAGAGCTGTAAGCGACGATGGTTTTCCTTTCCTGCTTCACGGCTGGAGAAGGTTTCAGAAAGAAGTGTGTGTGTTTGGGGTGGGGAGAGCAGGCTTTGCCTTCCGGTATTTGTAGTATCCTCATGAATGCATGAAATTTTGTTTGGATGATGAAGTGTAAATACTGGGGTTTTTTTTAAGCTATGATTCGGAAAATGAGTTAATGCTCTAACTACACTGTTGTTTACAAAACTACCTGATTAGCGACTCCGCATTTTCTCCTACCCACCCCCCAACCCAGCCTCTGGCAACCACCATTCTACTCTTTACATCCATGATTCGGACTATTTTAGGTACCTCGTGTAAGGGGAATCATGTAGCATTTGTCCTTCTATGACTGGTTTATTTCACCCAGCCTAATGTCGCAAGGCTCACCCATGTTGCTGCATATGGCAGGACGTCCTTCCGTGTAAGGGCGAATAAAATACTCCATTGCATGTATATGCCGCATTTTCTTTATACCTTTATCAATGTGCATAAAATTTCAGTTATACAAGATGAGAAGTTCCAAACATCTGCTTACAACATTGTACCTGTTGATACAATACTGTATGGTACATTTAAAAATCTGGGGCGCCTGGGTGGCTCAGACGGTTAAGCGTCTGCCTTCGGCTCAGGTCATGATCCCAGCGTCCTGGGATCGAGTCCCGCATCGGGCTCCCTGCTCGGCAGGGAGACTGCTTCTCCCTCTGCTTCTCTCTCTCTCTCTCTGTCTCTCATGAATAAATAAATAAAATCTTTAAAAAATAATAAAATAAAATAAAATAAAAATCTGCTGAGAGGGTAGATGGCCTGTTAAGTGTTCTAACCATAATAATAATAATAATAAAAAGCCTGCCTATTTTGTTCTTCTGTGGTGTGGTAGGTTGTCTTACTGTTCTCCACTTTTCACTCCTTCCCCTGTGTGAGGACACATGCCTGTCCCTGCGGTGTGACTTGACTTAGGGTGTGCCCTGCAGGTATCCTCCTCCATCCACGGGAGGCTCGGCCACTAAAGAGTGAGTGGAAGTGCCATCTGCCTCATCCACACAGAGTGATAGAGGTGGTTGGGCTGAGACTCTGGCTCTCCCTGCTCAGCCATGGGAAGGTGCGTCCCAGGCCACAGTGGGTGCCGTGGCAAGCGAGCAAAGAGACCCAGAGAACAGAGCCAGAGCCCCGGCCACACACGGCAGCCACACGTCACGGGAGCAAGAAGTCCACGCTTGCTGCTTTAAGCCACTGAACTGTGGGGGCTGTTCGCCAAAAAGCACAAAGGCTGATTAGTACATATGGTACATAGTGGCTTCATAAATAAAATTTGGAAAAGTATCCATTTGTTACTCCATCAGGGAGTTCAATGCAGCCAACACCCCTGACGACCTACCATGTGCCAGTCTGGGCCAGGCACATAAGGATGGGTGTGTTAATTCCCACGTTCTTAGGCCCCTCTAAGTGCAGGGACTGGGGAGGGGAGGAGGGGTAGAGAATGGGGTATTTGTAAATCACCAGGCACCGTGCAAAGCACAGAAGTAGAGGCATATGTGAAATGTTCTGAGAGCCCAGAGGAGAGAGTCACTAACTCACTGACGGTCCCACGTCACGGTAGTAATAGCTGTGGTAGGAATTTATTGCCACCAAAGAAACCGCTACTTAAAAGCTGCTGACTAGGGGCACCTGGGTGGCTCAGATGGTTAAGCGTCTGCCTTCGGCTCAGGTCATGATCTCCAGGTCCTGGGATCGAGTCCCACATGGGCTCTCTGCTCAGTAGGGAGCCTGCTTCTCCCTCTCCCCACTGCTCCTGCTCTCTCTCTCTCTCTCTCTCTCTGTCTCAAATAAATAAATTAAAAAAAAAAATTCTTAAAAAAAAAGAAAAAAGCTGCTGACTATTTCCATTTCTAGAAGGGGAAACCCCGCCTTCTTCATCCCGAGGAAAATGTTTGAGTGGGCTGTTGGAGTCAAGCAGATGTCAGGGAAGATCCTCATTTCCAGGGACGGATGTCTTCAAGATTTCTGGTGGAGTTGGGGCCTTGGCAGAGCCCGCCCAGTGCCATCCTCCACGATGCGTGACGCTCAAAGGCCCTGCTGTCTCCTGGGAGTGAGCCACCCAGACCCCATCCTTCTCTACTTTGCCTTCTTCTAATTATTAGTATTTCCCTAACAAACTGAAATAGCTTCAGGGTTGGTTAGCCAGCAGCAGCAAGGGCCACCAAGGAGCACCGAGAGGAGGCTCGTCAGAGAGAAGAGGCCTCTGGGCTGGTGAGCTGACCTCTGTGAATTTAGGGGAGGGTTGGCCCCGGGTTTGGTGAGTGACTGAGGTTGGAAATGTCTTGAGACATTGTCACTTTGACACTACGTCTGTGTTCTCACATCCTCGGGACCTCCTTGCTGCCTCCACCGCTGTGCCCTGTCTCCACCATCTCCTCTCTCCAATCCCCTCTTCTTCTGCTCAGCTGGCCTGCTGCCCAGAGGATGCCCCACCCAGCAAGGAGGTGCCGGCCTCCCCTTCTGGCAAGCTCCCATTCCTCACGTAATTCTCTCAGACCCACTTGGCTTTGAGGAGAGGACCCCCTTTCACCTCCTCATCAAGCCCGCCGATTTCTAGGACCCTTTCCTGCCCAAGGAAAGGTGCAAGGTGCAAGGTGCAAGGAGTCGACATGACAACCAGGGGCACAGAGCTGATTCTGTCACTCTAGTAAGCCCCCAAGGAAGATGTGTGACCCCAGGTGTCAGTGGTTTTCCTTAGAACTGTAGGGTACTTAACACCTCTCTGCCCTCAGCCTTGGGCCATAACTGCCAATTTTGGGGCAACAGAAAAAGTCCTGTATGGTATCCTGTTTTGCATAGAGCTGAAGACAGAGGTGCAGGTGTGATCCGATCTGAAGTCACAGTGGGCCTATTTACATGCCTTCCTCGGTGCACTGCATTGCATTAGCTCTATGTCTGGGCACTGATTTGAAAGAAATGCTCCAAATGCATAGAGCAGACTTCCCAGCTGAGTTAAAGGGTTTCCACCACATCCGGACATATATAATAAGCGAGGAGGTAGACAGCCTGCAAGTGTCCACTTGGTTTCATGATTTGCACAGGGCATGGGGGATGTGGTGCAGGGGCTGGGAAGGGGGTCATTCCGGGAAGGACCTGGAGGACAGAGACATCAGGGGTTGAGAGGACAGTGCAATGACCCCCAGCCCCATTCACCATGAAGTGGATCTGAGGCCAAAGGTGAAGCAGTGTGGGAGTCATGGGACCCTAGCATCATTGCTAAGACACACAGGAGGCAGGGAGGGATTCTTCCTCTTTCTTTGAGGACCATGGGGATTCTCTGACTTTCTTGGTGAAGGTAGCTTTGGGGACACTGGGAGCGCCCTCCTTGGTGGGGATATCAGAACACTGGCAGCCACGCTGAGAACCGGCAGCAGTCCATAATAGTGGATCAATGGAAAGAGCCTGATGTCTAATAACAGAACTCTGGCAAATATGGTTATGGCAATATACTGAACAAAAGAAGCCAGACACAGAAGAGGATAGCATCTATGATTCCATCTATATGAATTCAAAGGAGAGGCACCTGATGATCCATGGTGACAGAAGTCAGGTGGCCCTTACCCCTGGGTGTGGCATGAGGGCCCCTTCTGGGGTGATAGAATGATGCTCTATCATCTCGATCGGGGGGGGGTGGTTATGTGGGTATATGCATATCAAAACTTGACCAAATTTTGCACCTAGGATTAGTGCACTTTGCTGCATCTAAATTATACTGCCATAAAAGAAAGAAAGAAAGAAGAAAGAAAGAAAGAAAGAAAGAAAGAAAGAAAGAAAGAAAGAAAGAAAGAAGAAAGAAAGAAAGAAAGAAAGAAAGAAAGAAAGAAGAAAGAAAGAAAGAAAGAAATCACCATAAAAATGACAATGTAAGAATTATGTAGAGACAGAACTTTTTAATAACATGGAGGAATGACTATACTGTAATCTTTTTTTTAAGATTTTGTTTATTTGAGAGAGAGGGAGATTGAGAGGAGGGGGAAGGGCAGAGAGAGGGGGACAAGCAGACTCCCGCTGAATGCAGAGCCCGATTCGGAGCTCGATCCCAGGACCCCAAGATCACAACCCGAGCCAAAGGTAGGCACCCAACTGACTGAGCCACCCAAGCACCCCTATACTATAATCTTTAGCAAAAAAACAAACAAAGAGAGAAGCATATAGGACTGGTATACGTGCAGAAACAATTAATCAAAAAGTATACATGGGAAAAAGTCCGGACTGAAGCACATCCCATGTTCAAAAGTATTGTTTTGAGATCATGAGAGTATGACTGATTTTTTTTCCTACTTTCCATTTTTCTATTTTTCCTGATGCCATACAATGAGTGTGTGTTGGTTTTATTAGACATTGGTTTTAAAAACTAAAAGATGTTCACAGCCCATCCCACTGTTGCCTGGCATTGACCTAGAGTCAGGCTGGAACTGTGTGTGTGTGTGTGTGTGTGTGTGAGCTGCCGTGTGGCAGGTGGCAGGAGCTGTGCTCATGCGGCTGACCCTCCGAACCCAAGGAGAGGAACCAACGTCTTCCCCAGCCCGTGGCAGATGCTCTGCATCCACAGTGCAGAGATGAGCGGGCAACAGGAGTCGAGCCACCCATCCAGCATGGATTCAATGTCTGGATGCCAAGCAGCTACTTCAAAGTCTGGCCAGCTCCCCGAAAGGAGGGCGGGCGCAAGATGCCTCCAATATGGGCATCGAGTCTAGAGTGACAAGCAGGTCAAAAGATCATTTCTCATGGGTAGTCTGAACGTCATCCCCAGGAGAACAAGAGCTCTGCAAACGGGGGCCAAAGAGAATCATGAAAGAGACCATGAAACTCAGTCATGGCATGACAGACTGAAATGTTTCCTTGATTCCAGGCTGAAGAAGTTCCCGTGGGTCCTCACTTCCTTGTAACTCCTTCGGCTGAGGCTCCATCCCAAGAGGTGACCTGAATCCCCCTCTGGACCCAGAAACCCCAAAAGAGGTGACACACCCGCTAAGTTGGGCTTCCATGTTCTAGGAATCCTCACCCTGTTTCCCCTCCAAATGTGTATTGTCTACACCAGCTTGGCCATAGAGTCATCCAGTACTGAATGGGGGAGCTGCCTTCCGGACGCCCGGGTCTAGCATGTCACCCAACAGATGATGATAGGGAAGTTCAGAGAGGGGAAGTATCTTGCCAAGGACACACATTAGGGGGTGGGGGGTCAGCAGCACCATCTGGGACTGCAAACCTGCACCACTACTCCATACTGCCCTCTGGGGGCGAGGACCCATCACATCCTCAGCCACCCGGACGATGGACAGCAGAACCTCACAGGGCGAAGCCCCAACTCCGGTGGTGAAAGTAAAAAGCCAGCCGTGGTCACATACAGAAATGTAACATTTATCCAGCAGCGTCTGAGAGTTCTACACACACACACACACACACACACACACATGCACACACACACACATTACCACCAGTGAACACAAGGCTGCTCTTCGGACGACCAAAACTATTGACGCCACCTATTTTCTGCAAAATTCTATATTGATTTATTTGCTACCCATTTTGTGAACCCATATTTTTGTGAAATATAAGGCCTTCTTTACATAGC